GACGGGCTCTGCCAGCTCCCTTCTCCCCGCTCCCGTCCGCCGGGCCGCTCCCGCTTTATTGACTTTTCCCGCTGAAGCAGCGCGACTCCGCGTTAAGCGTTCCCACAGGTCGCTGCTCTCCTACGGGGCTAGAAACAGGGAAGGCTCCCTAACGCGCGGCTGAGCCGGGCCGCTGCGGAGGTTTCTAATCCCGGTCTAATCCCCGTGAGAGATCAGTGGAACAATCAGCCGCGACATCCTGGGGGCTGCCGTCGAGGAGCGCTGCAGCCCGACCCGCCCGGGCTGAGCAGAGCCCCGTGGTGCCCTTGGCTCTCACCTGCGAGCCCTCCAGCAGCTCCTTGCGGCACCTCCCGAGGCAGCGGCTCTCGGTCAGACCCTCGCTCCGCAGCCGGCGGCGTTTCCCGGGCCCGTGGGGCGCGTGTCGCTCACGTGCTGGTTTTGGGAAGGCTTCCCCAGGTTGTAATTGCTGCTGGCTGCGGCTCTCGGGAGCTGCCATGCAGCGGCCCCGCTGCTAAAGTAACGAAAAAGCGTTTTCCCACTGCTTTTAGAGTGAAACTGTGTCAAGAAAAGATATTAATTAGTTTTTAAGTTTCCCAAAGGCGGCGGCCTCTGAGAGGTGGATGTGCTGTTCAGTGGAAAGCCTTATCGTGAGGAAGATGAATGGCGCAATGTAACCTCTCCTCATCCACCTTTCCCTACGTGGGAAGTAAAAACCTGGCAGCTAATGGGGAAAAGCCAGCACGTGGGTCATTCGTGTTAAACCCAAGGATTGTGGGCAAGGGGCTGAGTGAGAGAGGAGTTGAAAGGGCAAAGTTGATAAGGTTTAGGCAAATGTAAAAATCTGCAGTTTGAAGTCGTCATACAATTACAGCAAAAGAAGATTCTGTTAGAAAATTGGTGTTATATTTTTAAGTTTTGGTAGAAAATCTGTGTGACTCCCATTTTTTTTTCACTGAGTTCTCACTGCATTAGTGATTTCTTGAGAGCAGAAGTTTGTCTTGTGACCATTCAAAAATATTTGCATATTAGCAAATACTGGTCTGGTCCTGAAATACCATAAGGCTGAGATTTACCTTATGCAAAAATTTGTGCTGGATTCAAAGGGGAATGGTTACACCACTAAGAATTGCTAATAGCAGGTTTGGCTCCCCCTTAGGTGGTCATTTTTTTTTCCCTTCAGTGTGTTTAGTACCAAAGTTAAAAACCATGAGAGAGTTTTAGTTTGGGAAATACTTAACTTCTTAATGTCTGTAGCAATAATGTACTTAGCAAGCCTAGGTATATTGTACTCCTCCTGAAGCTCCATTCTTGTTACTCAGAGGTGGGAATGGCCCAGAGTTTAGTGACTCCTTGAATGTTTGGTTTTGGTAGTTTTATAAACTTCTTGTTTGAAGGTGACTTTGTTTCATTATCTCTTTTCCATCCACCCCTATTTCAGCAGTTGAGTCTTCCTGCTGCTCTTTATGATCCTTTTGGGCAAATACTGGGCCGTGCTTTGTAAAGTACCATTATGGGTGCTGATACATGATTTGGGTGTGATTAAACACACAAAAATTCATGCGTTAAGATTTTTAGGTCACCTAAATTGCAGAGTAATGTTTTTCAGAATGGAGTTTAAGGGTTTGATGTTAGAGCTGTATTAGAAAAAAATCTGAAATGCAACAGTTATCCAAAGTCCTCCACCAGTTTTAATAATTCCCCAGTGCTTAAGTTTTTCATTCATGTCCTTGAAGTCCAAATTTATGCTGTATAGTTCTTGCTTCTGATGATAACTACCTGGAAAGCAAAGGCCACCAGGATCCAATCCAATGTGTAAAATGAATGAAGCATTTTTAACTTCATGCTGTACATGCTTGCACAAACAAACAGGGGACACAGTATTTTATGCCTGAAAGTCTTTCAGGTCTTGTGTGTCACATGTGGTAGCTCTCATTTGAAAGCTGCCATCAGCAAACAGTCTAAAGGGGTTTGATTGATTGTCTCAGTTTCTGATTTTTTCCTTTTTTCTCTTTTTTTTTTATTTTCCCTGTTTAATCAAATTAGAAGTTTTGGAAGAACTACCAGAAACGAGTGGGAAAACAGCACGGCGTTTCTTCTTTAATTTAACTTCCATCCCCAGTGAGGAGTCTATCACCTCAGCTGAACTCCAGATTTTTCGGAAACAGGTGCACGGAGCCTCTGAGAACAACAGCAGCTACCATCACCGTATTAATATTTATGAAATTATAAAGCCAGCCACAGCCACCTCTAAGGACCCTGTCACAAGACTTTTGGACACCAGGTTGGTGCATCATAATGCAAGTAAATGGGAAAGTTTTGATGTAACGCCAGCTGTTTTGAGGTGGATTGCACATGGACAACCTAACCATGGGTTTGTGGTAGAGGTGGTTCACTTGGACAAAGAGAACAGTGCCTCCAAGAGGCACGTTAGGATTAGCAGGTCTTTACATCAGGATGAAGATAGCTGGTCTCAGCTCAGGCCATTGTTAGTGACGTTTGGGCATGATGGCAAGGGACACCCGCTCCATAAAAGAGAAAAGCGTCAAGCGAAACACAAACAGCGTAAACGCCACAAATACAGTTGCAAAAGGCACCCGTTGTATGTGGACTTCAATGATGTGGGGTGGAATGACTGGATTGTGGCCCCGCCGGGGTATAGTGCCTTTTACTGCCACGGGGAATGTCCCTTCCCTCTGGCAGATCACCTAAACTCAACCAACCATGCCATTGTTCAGACTTTGGTCAATTCAGTGAATTCCAAAATCCCCAAGGCTTGCTGTGTGCCGACAGAACTGAGTGCTATTTCCATGCTCTACCTTGATGAAAATGAAAAAGTTGTATTAAAGAACTATCAAGATATGGTTGTGGAGGGTTGTGGGTGCCGCTAACACAGCAAATATATTAGACAAATGCAAAAAAAAAAAAAATAGCTGACACTTTAATATTTCCCAATGAAGACTTTATTTATGTAATGAAATGGAAAGAAAAAAAAACACAACTATTTTGAAAATATATTTATGTCTACGAAAAAGTTGGGAAAACAAATATTTTAATCAGAGAAATATTCCTTTAAAGATTTTAAATGTATTTTAGTTGTACATTTTATATGGGTTTAACCCCAGCACATGAAGTATAATGGTCAGATTCTTATTTTGTATTTATTTACTATTATAACCACTTTTTAGAAGAATAGCTAATTTGTATTTATATGTAATCAAAAAAGAAAAAAATATAGGGTTTGTACATAATTTTCCAAAATTGTAGCTGTTTCAATTGTGTGTATTTAAGTTGAAAAGAATACATGGAAGGTTACTATGGCAAAGTGCATAGCACATTTGCTTTCTGCTGTGCTACTGTTAAGGTCACAAGTTCAAGTCCAGAAAAAAGTGGATAATCCACTCTGCTGACTTTCAAGATTATATTGTACAATTCTCAGGAATGCTGCAGGGTGGGCTGTCCAATCCATGAGAACTGGCATCCTCTTTAGGTGGAACATTTGGATAAGAACCAGACATTGCTGATCTAGTATAAATACTGCTATTCCCAACTAATTTGCAGTGTGAATATAAGGGCCAATAGAAATCCTATGGGAGGGTGGGGGTGGGGGAAGACTGAATCCTTTCTAGACCTACAGAAAAGTGAATGTTTGATGTTTCCTTTAAAAGTCCTTCCTTTAAAAGTCCTGGCCAAATATGAAATAATAAAAACTAAAATGTCATCTTTTTTTTTGTGATTATCTATGCTAAAGAGGAACACTTACCTAATTTGTACGGGCCCTTGTCTTTAACAGTTGGAAAAGCCTTGCATACTTCCTCACCTCAGATGAGAGCTCACTTCTGTGGAGTGTTACAGTGAAATTAATCTGCAATTTTTGCCCTACATGCAGCAAGCTGTTGTCATATGCAGCCTCCTCTCTAACCTCAGCTGATGGTTTTGCTGTTTGGCAGATTAGCCTCTCTTCGTTTCCAGGGTTTTGTGTTGGAAACCTTTTTTTTTTTTTTTCCCAAGTGTTTAAATCTATTTCGGATAATAAACCATAGAATTCTGATATTTCTTTCTGAGAAGTCCAGTCTGTAAGAAAAAATGGTTCACTTGTGCAGTCATCACAATTTGTGCTTGCATCATTGTACTGGTTTTTAAATCCTTCATGCAAGGGGCAGAGTGGGATTTGCAGTAGGCAAACAGAGCATTAAAGCTGGTCCTGACTGTGCCTGTTGCATGTCCCACAGCTGGTGTGGCAGCAGAGCCTGGGGGTGTTGTGTGAAAGTTGTGCTGGAGCAGGAGAGCAGAAAGGAGCTGAAATCAGCTTCTTGGTCATCCCCTCGGGCTGTGTTGTGGGTCCAGTTGTGCATTTGGTGGACTGTGGCTACACTTCCTGAAGCCATGTGTGCCATGGGCCCTGCAGGGCCTCTCTGTCAGCTGTGGCAATCTCTGATTTGGGCCTCCTGATGTTTTGTTAGTGAACCCCTCTTTTTTGTTCTGGCCCTCCCCAAACTTCTCCTTTTGTTACCAGAATTATCTGGATTAGAGCAATGGTACTGACTGGATGGGTTGATCAGAAAGGCCAACTTGGTGATGTCTTACAGGTCCTCTTGTAGAGCAATCCTTTACTGCTGCTCATTGCAAAAAGCAGAGGGTACAGAGGATAGGAGAGAAAAACTAATTACCTGTTGGCTGCTTCTTATTTTATTTCTTGTGAGCTTAAAAATTTCTTGGGCTGTAAGGATCTGTGGTGAGATAAAACTGATGCATTTCTTTGTACCAGCAGTGGTTTTAGCAGCTGCCAGAGAACAGTCCACCACTCTGCAGTTGGGCTCTGTTTAATTTTGAGAGGTAGCTGATGTTGGTCATGCTGATACTACACAGCAGCTGTGGGCTGGCTGGGTGGACATCTCCAGGTGCTGTTTTGGTGGCTGATGTCTTTAGGGATGGATTATCACATGTGCAGGAGTTTGGTTTGCCTCTCGCCAGCTCTCCTGGTGCTGGATGAGTTTGTGGCGTTGCTTTGGCAAGGTTGTCAGGGCTGCAGTGGAGGTTCAGCAAGGATTTGGTGTTTGTAATGTGTGGGGTTGTGCAGTCAAGTCAGAGCTGTGTTACTGTACTGTAAAACCTAAGCTTGAGGAAGCTGACAAGGCTGGAAATTTAACGATGAGCATGAAAGGTGTGATCCCAACCCTGTGAAATTGTGAAGAACCCACAGCACTTCTAACCAGACCCTCAGCTCTGTTGCTGTAAAGCTGAAGTCTCACAGCTCCTTCATGTGTGACCAGACTGAGGGAGGCTCTTTACAGAGTGGTGACTGCTTTACTTCTCCTGTAAGGCATGAGAACTCACTGATGCTCATTTTGTTGCCAAAACTTGGCTACAGCACTTGTCTCTGCATGAGCAGGAGCTGGCTCGTGGCACGGTGCCGCATTCCTTGCACAGGCAAACCTCCTGTGCTTGACAAGGAATTGCATCCTCACTCAGATGCACTGGGAGGCCAGTGGATTGCTGCAAACTTGCTAAGACCCACTCTTGTAAGCATTTCTGTAACTGCTCAGTGTTAGCCACAGAATCACCAGTTCCATGCTGATTTTGAGGAGGAAATATGCAGGTGTCAAGCCCAGCACATCCGTAAATTTCTGCAGAACTGGTTTTGTAATGTACCTTTAAAGCCTTAACCTTCACCTCACTCTCTAGGTTGGAGGCGTGAGAGTGCTGCACTAAAGGCTTTGCTTAGGACTAAAGTAAATGAAACAGAACAAACTTTCACAGAGGAGTAGTAGGAAGTTCTCCTGGAGATCAGTTGGGTTCCTGAAGTCTTTTAGATAGGCTGTCTGATCATCAACTCTTTCTGAAAGGTTTGGGCTTTCTGGCATCTTTTGAAAGTCTGGTAATGACTGCTAAATAATGCTAAATACTGAAGGTATGCTGTTAGCACAGCACACTAGTACTTACTTTAGTTCTTTAGTACTTATTAGTATTATAGTGCTCTACAAGGAGAAAAGAGCTTTTTTTCCTCTTAAGAGGAGAAAAAGGAAAATATTTTGAAGGCAAAACTGCCTTTGTTACCATATAGCTCCTAAACATTTTGCTTCTAGGCACTTATGATCTATATAGGCAGAGATTGTGATAGATAATGTCACCCTTTGTGCATTTCAGATAAGCATCTCTCTAAACACAAATGTGATCAGCATGTCTCCTTGTCCTTTTGAGACTCAGTAGCAGCTTTGTCGAGTGGCTTGATAATTTTTGCGCAAAATTCAGTTGGACTTCTGAGGTCAGCAGCATGTAGAGGAGGATCTTCAGTGGAGGTAAGCTCTCCCGAGAGCATTGGCCATGGCCAGCGAGCAGGGCTGCCCTGCCGGCTCCCCACGGCCAGCTGGGGACCCCTCCCTGCCCCTGCAGGGTCTGGGGGCCACATCCCTGCTCCCCGCCAGGCAGGTGAGGCTCCCACCCCACCCTGAGGCTCAGACAGGAACGGGATTTGTGCTCTCAGCTGTGGAGGAGGAGCTCATCCACACTGCGTTTGTGTCAGACCCACTTTGCTACACTACTAGAAGAGGATAATTATTGAGCTATTTCATTGAATGGTTATTCTTCAGTTGTTGATTTTTTTGGGGGGGGTTTATTGATTTCAGGCGGCAGCTAATTGCCATGTGGCAGCTTGATGTTAATGTTTTATGAAGATCAGGAAACAAAAGTTTATGAAACAAAAGCTTTTGTATAGTAACTGCAGAGTTTCAAGAACTGTTTTATACTTCCTGACAGTGCAGGTCTGGCTTAATGGTTTGTTTTTATTGCTTAAGAGTGTAAACCTTTCTTTAGCCGATGTGTGGAAATTATATCCTCATCCCGCATTACGCATTTCTCATTGCTCATTACTCACTGCTGCTTTCATTGCTGCCATCTGTAATCAGAGCTTTACTGTTTCAGCTGCATGCTAAATGCTCCTATCCTTTGCACTGTGAGATACTTTTCCTTAGCATTCACCCACCCTGTCAAAAAAAGAAAAAGGTGGAGGGGGGTGGGTCAAAAGGAGAAAAAAAAAGGGACAGAAAAACCTACTCTGTCTATATTGTTTTTCTCTGTTTTGGGTGGAGTCTGTGTTAGATTCTGGTTGCTAGATGGTTTCTGTAGTAACAAGCAGAGTAAAATCCAAGCCTGAAAAGGCACTTTTAAAGGTGCCATATCTTGCCTGAAGTATTATTTATCTAATTATGGACATGGCATGTTTAGTTTCTCCTTTATATCAAGGCAAGCCCTTTTGGGAGGGCAGGCTGCTGCTATGAGAACTCGATATGTGATCTTAAAACAGGAGAACCACAAATCTTGTTCCCAGTTGACTTAAGCTGCTGAAAATAATAACAAAAAAGCCAAAGGCATTAAATGCATTTTTAAAGATTGCTGCAGGCACAGACCACTTTGTTTTTTAGTTACATAGGAAGGGAACAAGTAGCTGAGTTCAGAAGGACACTTGGATTGTACATGTTAGTGCAGTAAGGAGGGTGTTGTACACAAGCAACAGTGGTTTGTTTTGTTAGGCTACTGTGTACAAGGAAAAAATCCCAGCTCCTTCAGAATATGACTTTGCTGTACTCCAATTTGTTTTTTGTTTATTTCTCCAAAGAGGTTTTGCAGGTGTGTGAGAAAGCAGACACACATATGGTTACTGCTTTTGCCTTGCTTAGGCACACAAAGAATTCCAAAAGTATTTTAAGATTACTGCTTTCCTCTCTCCAGTCCTTCATTACCTGTATTCCTGAGAGCCTTGCCTGCAACAAACAGTAATGGCTTCCTAGGGTGGAGTTTCCTTTTTTTGGAATCCCGTCACCTGTCAGTGCCCTCCAGGATTTTGCAGCCTTCTGTCCATGAGTGCTGTGAACTGGTCACTTAGAAAAGCAGCTACCCTGGCTTTGTCCTGCTTCTGTGTCCTTTGCAGAGGGGCTTTGTCCCAGCCTTCAGCAGGAATCTGACTTTGGGAGCACCTCCTGTCAGTACCTGGCAGCCTCTCCTTGGCTCAGGAGGGGTGGCTTTGCTCTCCACAGCTGTTCTTGCACCAAAATCTGCTTGGCTGCCTCCACAGAAATTAGTCCAGAGCCCCTGGGCAAGGTCTGCAGTGGAAGGGAGCATATCAGTAGGGTCAGTTTGAAAAAGGGCAGGAATTTCATCAGGAAGGTAGGGAAGTGTTAAAAGCTTCAAAGGGGACTTCAGGTAGGGAGAGCAGAGCAGCAAATTGATAACGTTATGAAAGTTCAGGTTCCCACAACAGCTGGACTGAGGAAGGTTTACAATTTAATGAGGCTGATAATCCCATTAGAGATTAAATTAAGAAGGTTTTTCTGGGAGATCACCAAGAAAATTATGGGTATTGTACTGTAGCTTGGCTCATAATGCCAGGGCTGACATGTACTTCTTGCACTGCAGGACACTGTTTCGTTCAGTGTGTCTCATTAAAACAAAGCCTCCAACTCCAGCAGTGTTGCAAACAGAAGCAAATTATTATTATTTTTTTTTATTGCTACTACTACTGCTGTTATTACTATCATCATCATCTTCCTGGAAACAATATGCAGATTAAAAGATGGAAACATCAACCAGATCTGCAAATCAGCAGAGCTCTGCTGAGCTGGTTCTCAGATAATCCAGTTGTTTTTATGAGAGCAGCTCCTCAGGAGGCAGGGTGACCACGAAGAAAAGAGAATGTTTAAGGTAACCATTGACATAACTGCTGTAGCTTGGAACTTGCACAAACCACTTTTTATGGCATCCTGCACACCCTAGTGATGGGAAAGTGTTGTGTGGAATAATGACTCTGTAACCACAGACTTCAAAAGTATAGAATGTCTGCGGCTGATGGAAATGGCTGTTTCCACATCAGTAATCTACTCCCAGGCATATTGAAGCTTAATTGCAAGGCCAGTGGAGATGGGAGGAGGAAGGGAGAAGGGCTATCTGCCCCTGGCTGCCTCTGCTTTACAGCCACAAACAGTGATTCAATCTGTGACAAACTTGAATTTTGCTTTTTTTCTTAGGATTTGTTGATAACTTCATATAGGACTTCATAG